CACTCAAGTTAAAAATAACGGTGCAATAATAGTGGAACTCAGAACTTTGAAAATCCTTATAAATCAACCATAATGTGCTTCTGTACATTTAAATAACAAATAGTAGAACAGTGTCTTTTAGAAAGGGGTAGCTATTCTGCACCGTGTTGTGTGTGGAAGCTTTGACTTGACTGAAGATGTGCGAATCACAGGGTGACCTTGATACTCAACTTCACCATTGACAATCAATCAATAAAATAAAATTGCTAAAACTTGCTTAGCATCGCATCAAATCAGTTTCGCCGCTAGCCAGTTTGCCTATTTCGAGACACTGATTCAGAATGTGAAAAGTTTTTTAAGTTGCGATAGTTATTTCTAAAATTTTGCGCCCGAAGTTAATTTCTGCGCGGCGACAAATGTTAAAGTGATTCTTCGTCATAGTGATCTCCCTGAAATCTGACCGTGATCGCACGAAAAATATCTAGCAGCGCGTGATTTCTGGACCAGGTCTCCACACCATCATCCAATTGTCCAAACTTTGTACAATTTTGTGGTTACACCTAACGATTTGTCGCATGATCGCTAGATCGTCCAGTTGTTGTACAATTTATAGCTATGTGTAACCTGACCTTTAGCCCAGGTTGGCTACAACAAACAGAATTAATGCAGGCTGCCTCCCATATGATCTAAATTGTGTCGTTGGGGGCATTAAACATCTTCAATTATTACAATTGTATATCGCAATATGTGTTATTACTCACCGGAATAAGTCAAATCCATAGAACTGAAGGTCATATCATTGACGGCACACTGTCATGGCCCATGCTGTTTCCTTTCTATAAGACATTTCTTCACTGGTGCGCACCATGACGTGCAAGAAAAAGGACAAAACATCAGTCTCTCGATAGTCTTTTACTTCTTGCCCTTCAACTACTTTCAAATAGATCAAATTCCAATTTGCACAGTCTTGGATAGTATAATGTAAATGGTCTAGCCTTAACTCTTTTCTTTAGTTCCTAAATCAGCGCTAATAATGACAATACCACTATCAATCATTTACGAAGGAAGGTGGGTGATTTTGCCCACGAACACAAGTAGGTTAAAATAAACTTTGACCCCCCACTCCCATTTGGAACTTTCTTGACCTAATAATTACCTACATGGCCAGATTTGGGTCTCCGTTACGAAATGTACGAAAGGCGAAATTCACTTTATATAAGAATGGGGTGGGTGCAACATTGACTTTTGCCCGGAAGAGGAAGTGTTACAACACCTCCGGTGAGGTTGCAATTTGCAGTACACACAATTCAGGTCAATCAGGAGGTATGTTACTTTGACCCATACTTTCTAGTGCAACTATCAAAAGAATAAATTATATAATTGAAGCCACATAAAACACAACAAAAAACACGTGCATTACATGACGCTGCTGCGAGACAGCCGACTTTTATTCATTTTGCCCCGTTGTTTCTTAAACAGGACACACGGTATTTCTCAAACAAGCATGACGCTTCTATATAAAACATGTACATGGTTGGACTTATGAAAACATCACATCTAGAAATAATTCATTGAAAATCTACTTATTTTGTAACATTGGAAATCATAGCTTTGCTTTTTCAGGAGGGTGCAGAAAATCTCCCAAACCTACGAATAATAGAGCGTTAAAAACCCAAGGAGCGAACTTACTGTTACAAATATTTCTTTTTAATAAGCATTTTTATTGGGTAGGGTATACGTTTTTCTCTCAATATGTGAAACCATGGTTGTTGTTTTTTGGGGAAGGAGGGGGTGGTTACTTAAAAAATGAAAACTTACAATTTTACTGTCAACCACAATTGCGTGTGTTAGAAATTTCATCTTGAAATAAGCCACATAAGTAATATAACAACAGTGAAAAACAACAACAAAAACATCCAGCCCCACACCACCAAAGGATCTCTCTGGTCTTATTCTTCAAAGGGTCTGATATCTGTTCAGTATGATTCAGGTAGAGTGTTTTTAAAAAGTCAGAATTTTGCTTAGATAGATAGATAGATAGATAGATAGATAGATAGATAGATAGATAGATAGATAGATAGATAGATAGATAGATAGATAGATAGATAGATAGATAGATAGATAGATAGATAGATAGATAGATAGATAGATAGATAGATAGACATAATAGACAGCTGGTGAGCTAGATATATTGAGAGAGAGAGAGAGAGAGAGAGAGAGAGGGAGGGGGGGGGTGAGGTCAGGGAACTGAATAAATACCAATTACCTGCCTCTACAAATTGACTGGTTCGTTTTCAGTTGTATGTTATTCTTGAATCGTAGGAAAACATAAGACATGATATACCATGGTCATTATTCTCTAACGTTTGCAAGTGATTGTAAACATTTTTCACCCACATTGTGATAAATAGAACCATTATTTTAGGGGGTGGGCTATTTATACCCTGCCTGTACGGACAAAACTGTCCCAGACAGGACACAGTCCCAGCAGACAGAAGGTGTTAAATATATAGATATATATGTGTTCCCACTTGAATTTAAACTCATGTCTTCTGAGAATAAATTTTAAAAAAGCCCGACCATCACAGAGATCAAACGGCGATCTGGAAAAATGCTGATATAATTTGGTAATTAACATTGTATTGGTTTATCGCGCCTTTCAACAAAATAAAAAGTTCTTGTGTGAGAGACAATCTTCCAATCCAAATGAAGAACAGTACGCAAATTATAACTAACAGAGAAACAAAGTGAATTATGTGGCATATACATACTACTTAAATTTAGTAAGGACACAGGAATAGAGGGACACGATTTCATTACACTTGCACAACATTCTCCGTCTAAATGTACGAAATGAAAAATTGTTGGGTTTTTTTCTTTTCATTTTAGTTGTCCTTTATAGAACAAAGAAAAGTATCATTTATCATTTTCCTACACGAATTGAATATGCATACTTCACCATACTACTTATCTGTTATTACAAATCTTTATCTTGTCAATAACTGCAGTACCTGGCCAAAATTAACATATTCTTTTTACAACATTCAGAGACTCTGGACTCATCAATTAGGGAAACAAAAGCTCTGCTTTTTCTTCACGCTACGTTAAAGTAAAAATCGCACCAACAGAATGGCATGTTTAAAGGCTTCAAGAAGGGGTGGTGGGAAGTTCTGTGGGATGGTGGGAGGTTTTGTGAGGTGGTTCTGTCAACAACAGCAGCGTCGGTGGTAGGGAGATCAATTGTACGGCTGGAGGTGGCAGTGGCCATCCCTGTCTGGACCACTGGACAGCTGGTCGCCGCGTCTGGAAGGCAACAGAGTGAAAGGTTGAGGATGTAACTTACACGTATTATTAACATGTTCATTCAGCAGCAGAATAAAATCAATGTTGCAGCATATTTCCAACAATTATACACAAATCACAAACACGAATTTGCAGATTTCAGAGTCTGCCAAGGAGCAATTGTGGCTTAGAGGAGTGTTAGCCTCTCATTCAAAGGTCCCAGGTTTGAATCCGGGTAGCGACGGAAAACTTTTCCTCCCTAAAATTGTCTCCTTTCACCTCCTTTCCTGCTCTTTAGTAATGTTCTGTTGTCTGCTTTCGCCTCCACCCCCTACCCTTCCAATCTCCTCACCTCTTTAGCCCCCTACTCTGGGCTCCTGACTCTCTCTGCAGCCTTTCTATTACTACACCTAGGCTGTTTCTCACCGCTGTCTTTCAGCCACACCCATGATCTTCTGTTAGGAAAGATGTACACCAAGCCTTTTCGGACAAGGGCGAAAAATATCGGAGGTCCAGCGTGCAAGTTGCGCACGTCAAATTGTAAACTTTTAGACATTAAGTATCTTTCATTTCATCCCAAATGCCACAGAGGTGGTTTGTCATGTATTAAGATATCTATTCTAATGACATCATGACAAAAAATAAGATACGAAGTAACGTTCTAGCACTTGTGCCATGTATTTAATTCATCTAAGCGTAGCTTTCCGTTGATTCTTACTGACTGGTGTTTTTTTTTTCATTACAACCAGACCACCCTAAACCAAGGCAGATCCGCGGCCCCTGTACTCCACTGACACAGGATTATTGCCAAAATCTAACTAACGCAGCCCATCCTGCAAATGATACATGCTAATAAGCACATTAATTTAATGTTGAGTCCAAGTTTTGTGTCGTATTTGTGACTGCTTAATTCTTTAATCTGTGGGAAAATGTAATAAAATATTGTTCATTTTAGCCTAAAATTAAAAATAATGTTCAATTCATTTGATATGCAATACACGTCAATGCCACCGATGTTGATGCACCCGAATACAAGCGCAAGCATACTTTAAAATCTCCTCGATTCCACGCATGCCAAGCACTATTTTTCAAGGTTATTTTTGAATGGTTATATGAGTCATTTAAATTATTTAGGATTAAAGTGCTAAATTAACAAAAAAGAATCAATGAAAATCAACGAAATTTTTAGAGTTTCAGTTTGTGATTCTCATTCTAAGATCAAACACATTGTGGTCATATGAATTTCTATTCCTTTCAGCATTAAAGTGAAGCTAATGCCATAGATCTACTTTTTAATTTTAATTTTTAGATTATTCTAATAAACTTACAAAGGGGCGATAACAGGAGGGAAAGTTTGTAACATGAGGGAACATTAAAGACTCTTATCAGGTTTTAACAGCAAATCTCATTAAAATTGAAACACGTGTGTACATTATTAATGATATCATCAAAAGGAATAAGTGAAGAATGGGTGGGAACGTTAAAGGATTGTAACATGATCTATTGTGTCGTTATTTACTGGGTGTAGTTGCTCGCAAAAAACCCAAAGGCAACAAACAAAAAGGGGTCATCGAAACGAATTAAACCGAGAGACAACAATGAACAGGATGGTGTGGACGTGTAAGGAGATTGGGGACACAACAGCCAGCCTCAACGGATGTTCTAATGCTATGAAATAGTCGAAAGGGAGATTGAAGAATCTTAAAAAGCCTACAACTCAAAATCCATAATATTGAGCTCGAAATGGGACTTTTCGGGGTGTGGCCCCCCCCCCCCCCCCCCCCCCCCCCCAATGCTTTTGCAAAAAAATTAAGTCATATAAGTGGGAAGATAAGAAGTGTTACAAGGGTAACGTGCAGACAACAGAGAGAGGAAAATAGATATGGTATATGTTACGTTTGTTAGGAAAGGAGGCGCAAACTACACAAGAGCACCCGCCAACCACTCACAGAGGGTATTGTAATGTATGCACGTACACGCACATATAAATTAAAAGTATTATGAAGCACCTAAAGAGCAGTATTGCACAGAAGTGAGGGCTATAAAAATAACCTCCATTATTATATTTTATCATTATTTAAGTCAGGGTTCTCTTTCGATATTGGGAAACGAACATTTTTATAAAGCCGATGGCTTTTTAACTCATTGGGGATGCAGTGTGTTGGGGCATAATAGAAAAAAAGTGTTTACACCTCATTTGTCATATACATTTTTCTACTCGTTTTTTTTTTTTTATCTTAAAGACATACTATCATACTGTGAAATGCGCAAAGTAGTTTTTCTGATTTGAATAATGTGGTGGTTTGAAATATGTCACAACTCTTAGTTTGGTTTCTTACTGATCTTACACATGTGTCCGCTGCGTCTCAAAGACTTAAAGGATAATCGTACAAATAGTGTCTTCTAAAAATCAGTAAACATTGCATACCGAAAGAACACGAACATGATAAATATTGGCAAAGAAAGAGGTTTGAAACACGCGGGTGTCGCTATGCGTACTTCTTGTGTTTGAGTAGAGAGATGCACGTTATCAACAACATTATGGCCATGTAGTGCAGGGAAGAAGCATGACAGATAGATGGAGTCTTTAGAGGAAGGAAAAGAAGTAAATATTATGACCTACCTGTGGCGCCCTCCAACTGACCCCATATTTTGTGTTCTTCGTCAAACTAACTTGAATGCAAACCAAACTATCGACATAGTCTTTGTTTGATTTGACAAGATTCGACCTATTTAAAAAATTACATTTATATCCATAAAATACTTTACTCTCAGTTGGATATTGTGCATAACATTTAGGTATCACAATGAACAGCTTTCGGGAAATAGAAAAATAAAACAATATAAACATACCAAAGGAAATAACTCAAGTAAACGAAAGCATGTGTTTTAAATTAGTTATTCCCCTTGATTGTGTTTCTCTCTCTCTCTCTCTCTCTCTCTCTCTCTCTCTCTCTCTCTCTCTCTCTCTCTCTCTCTCTCTCTCTCTTTCCCCTGCCTTTCTGTTCTCTCTCCCTTTTACTTTCTTGCTCTTCTCCCGTTTACAGTAAAACAAAATACAAGAGTGTTGACTCATTTTCAATTAACGGGCTGTTTCCATCGGAATCCATGATTTCAAGCCTCTGATGTCAGCTCCTTTCATAAATTTGTAAAGATCTTTAGCAGTCTGGAAATAATTAACTTGCGGTAATTTCCACATCTTAACTGATTTAATTTGTTTATTCTTGGTGTAGATCTTTTTTCTATCCCTCTTTCTCTCCGCCCCCCCCCGTCTGCCTGTCTGCTCTCTCTCTTCCCCTCTCTCTACCCCTCCCCCCCTCCCCTCACCATCTCTCTCTATATTTGCTGTTAAGTATTCGAGGCGCATCTTTATCTAAACTATCGAACATAGACTCCCCAGCTTTTACATTCTGACTTGTATCAATTTATCTTAACTTAATAAATGATGACAATGTTCATGTTTTTCTAAACTCTTGTTAGCTGAATTTTAGAAAATTCTTTATTACTAATTTTTAAAAATCCAAGTGGGTGGTTTCTACAGATTTTATTGGACGTATGTTTTGAGAACCTTTTGTGCGAAAACAAACAAAAAATACAAATTCAAAGAAACAATCATAGTATGTAAAGACAATGTACCAACACAGTAACTCATCCATTGGGAATCGTCAAAACATGACATATGAAAGTATTTGTAGATCAGAGGAATGACCACCGGTCAGACAGTTAATGTGTCCAGATGGTCGTGTAAGCAAAATCTGTGACTAAAAACTAACAGTAAGCAGACGGACGGTCGTCTAGGCAGTACCCCTTTAGCATTAGGCGACCACGTAATTATATTAATACAAGAAGGCTTCTTGTAATAGACAAAGTGAACTTGAATCTTTTAACTACTAAAGACTACATTGTATCTGTAATGTATATGAGATCAAAACTGTTGTAACAGCCCTGTTTTAGTTTAGTAAATCACTTAGGTTTGGGGTAGATCTCGCTTGATGTCACGTGACTTGGCATCCGTCGACTAATCGATTCCCGAGTATAGAGAATTTGTATCCAGAATTTGTTTTGTATCTCACTTAAACCCAGGCTGCAAGTTGGGTGGAAAAAAACCAGCTTCCTATATTTTCTTGTTTGTGACAATCGGTAAGTAAATCGTCGATTATTACCACTGTAGCAATTTCGTGTATTTGACCTAGACTTAGTAAAGATGCATTCAGACCAAATATTGATTACCTTCCATGTGTCTAACGGATGACAGACGGACGGTACGTAATAGGGACCTCGTGTTCAAACCACCATACGTCCATTTATTGGAGTGTTTTTCGCCAATATGGAAATCAACACGAAAGTTTTTGTTTCGCAGTAGGGAGAACAGTTTCAGCAAACAACGGGGCGAAGATGGTTTGTCAAACAATACAGCCTATTGAAAGAATCAGTATAATGACTATAATATCTGGATGGGGTTTCTTAGCCACTTTCTCCATCCCCTGCCCCATCCCCCAGCCCAAATCCTATCTTTTCCTGTCTCTTTCCTTTTTTCTGTTTTTTTTTTTCATTCCTTGGAGTTAAAGAACTAAGGTCAAATACAGGTATATATGATATGTTTTTACATCACAACTTTATTTTGACAATCTGTATGAACATGATAACAGATTTAATCATTTCAACAACAAATGTGCTCGAAAAAAATGCGTAGTGAGCAATAAACCTCCATGCTTGGGCCAAGGATCATATTTGTAGCGCATAATATTCTTACACGTGTCTAACGCGAACATACATTGACCGCGACCCAACTGTAGCTCCATAAAGAGACCATGGAGGCGCAAACTATGTCAAGTAACTTCTGTTGGTACCTTAATCGTACAATCTGGCTTCGTCCTCTTCTGATGGATAGACTGACGGCGTTTCTATCAGCTTGCGGAGCTGAACGAGATCGTCAAACATACGCAGCTGCTGTCTCACGTCCTGACGTTTGTAGGCTGTGCTCATGTCCCGGGAGGGCAGGCCGTAGGACGAAGGACTGTTTCTCGACAGCAAAGCCTACAATCAGTAAGGAACATCTTCATTAAAAAGTATTGGGGAGAATGTTCTTTCATTAATCGTTTAAAGTTTAAAACACTATATGAAACACATTTATGAGTTTGACAAGGAGCAATCGTTAGCCTGGTAGGTATGTTGGGTGTTGTTCTTATTACTATTATCACTATTATATTACTACTGTTATTGTTATTGTTATTATTATTGTTATTGTTGTTGTTGTTGTTGTTGTTATTATTTTCTACTAAAAAGCATACCATTTTGATTGAAGTAACCCATTTGTGCTTGTTAGGGATCTGAACTCATATCATTTCAAGTGACTGTTCGATAACGGGGGAAAACGAAAAACATTTAATGTCTCAGTGGGTTAAACATTAACTATAAGCTAAACGAGTTTGCCTGTTATGCTCTACATTAATGCGTATGATACTTCTTGACAGCTATCAATACATTTAATTTACGAGAACGATTTTTGCCACACTGTTGCATGAGAGTTTGATCCTGGGTAATTAAAATTATACGAGTATATACGTGACCTTTTGACGAGCAGGTGAAGACAGCCCCTACATAATGGAAATACTGTTTCTGGCAGTTGTTCCATTTAGAGCTTAGAGGTCAACTTACCCCGAGAAGATCACTTTTCTTTGTCACCATAAGCTGTGGGAAAAAGGAATACACTTTAAAAAATTGTAAGGAGTAAGCAGTTGACGGAGAAAGGAATAATAAAAAATTAGTTGATTAAATGTTTTAAAAATAACAAACTTGTAGGCTACTCCTAGACAGTGCAATGTCATGACCGCCACTCTCAGCTATCTATAAAACCTTGGCTGCAAAGTGTAATCCATCTTTTACAACTGTTTTTAAATGTACTAATATTACAAGTTTCGCTTCAGTCAAGTGTGCATTGCAACCCCCCCCCCACCTCCCGCACACTCCACCCTCCCTTGCCAGTCATATGTCTCAAATGGCGTTGTCCCTGAGTAAACTGGACATAGGTCTGAGCGCAGGGTCTATAATATTATAATACTACTCTATAGAAACAATAGTGTTGGAAGAGCTAGTACTTACAATAGTTATCACAATAGTAAAGATTACGCACTGCATTCACTAAGTCTCTGAGTCCAAACATCTTAGTCGTAATAAAAATGTATCAAAATTTGTCAGCAATCTCAAGGCTACCGAAACAAAGACCATCACTCCCTAACAATTTTGTTCTCTTGTTATTTAAGAGCCACAAAATCGTGTTATATGAAATCCTTGGTGCTGTTTTGCAGGGAACAAATATATTGGCACGAGAAGAACATACTTGGACAGCAAGAGCTGTGTTCTTTTTTTTTCAAGTTTGGTAATCTATTTTTTAATACCACTGTAGCTTTCGCAAGTTTTTGTGATTTTTATCAGTAGATTATGATAAGTAGATACTTATACTTACACCGCCCGGACAATTCTGTGGAAAGACATAAGATGTGAAAATTAGAAATACACACACACACACACACACACACACACACACACACACACACACACACACACACACACACACACACACACACACACACACACACACTTCTCTTTCTATACAATCAACAATGTTATCATAAAGCATAAACTATAATAATTTAAGAAATATAGCATAACTTGACTTATGTGCCGAATATTTCCCTCAGTTCTTCGTAACTTACGAAAGTATCTTGAGAAGGTGTCATTATTTCGACGTACGGAAGGATATACCCGAATGCTAGTTTATTGCAATGATAATATTATAAAATACACTTATAAAATAAAAGATTTTTCTTCTCTCATTAAATCATTAGATCACTGGGACTGAAATGGGGGAGGGGGCTGAAACTGATATGTATTTAATACTCATAGATAAAAGGAAAAAAGAAGGAAAAGTAAGAGGAGGAGTAGGAGTAGGGAGAGGAGGAGTAAGAGGAGGTGGTAGAGGAGGAGGAGGAGGAGGAGGGGGCAGAAAAAGTAGCAGAGCAGAGCAGAAATACTTAAAAGGCATTCATTATCACTTTCGTAGAGTAAAGTGAAAACGATGTAAGGAAACAGTTGCAAAAAAATAAACCGATTAGAAAATAATAGACAAATAGAATGATACTAAAAAATACTAATAATACATGGGGCAACAAAAACACCACTCACCCCTACCCAAAAAGCACGCATGCTCTAAAGAAACGAAAGAAACACCACAAAAACCAAGCATACGTTCAGACTATCCATGTTCGAAACATCAACCATGTTTCTATGTTATTTTACATTAATTCTCAATTTACATTTTGTAAAATTCCCATTCTACTACACCAAATGACTAGTGGATCTACTACATGACGGAAGTTCATTTTCACAGGCGAAGTCTGTGGCCTAGTAGTTCTGTGTTTCGCCGTCATACTCTAAAGACTTAATTCTGATTCTCATTTGGGTAAGCTTTTTCATCAAGTATCTGGCTTTATCTTCTGGGATGTTATGACCCTCTCAGCCCGAGATGGCCTTGACAGGGAGATTTAGTACAGCTCATCTTCTAAATTATCTAGATTGTGTCGATGGGGGCTTAAAACATCTATAATCACGCATATTCCGGGCCGTTACACAATAAAGACAAAATTGTGTCTTACCGCAGGGTGGACCTAAGGAGAGAGTTGCAGAAAAGAAATCAATTAGGCAATATGTAAGGTGTAAGCAAAAAAAGTATTTCTTCCTTTCCCCAAAAAAGTATTTCCCCCACCATTCCTATAAGTATTATTATTATAATTATTACTGTTATTGTTATTAATATTGAATAACAACAACAACAAT